CGGAAGCTGAGGGTGAGGGGAGGGAGAGGGAAGCATGGGGCATGTGCAGCAGAGCTTGCTCGGATGCTGAGGTCTGCAGCTGCCCCCATGGTGCTCGACCCTATGCGGAGCACTGTGGGGAAGCTGTGGACTGCATCACCTGGGTGAGCTCTGCTACATGCACCCCCTGCCTCCTCCCTCCCCTCACCCCCAGCTGGCTCCTGAGACCTAGTGCCCAGGCAGCACCCCCTCACGTGCACATACATGCACACATTGCCCCCCACACATTCCCTCATACAGACACACACCCCACCCCACAGGGCAGAGCATGCAGGGAGAAGATTGCACCTTGGCTAAGCCCTGGCCCCAAGCTGGAAACACACTATGACTCGGCCCCATGTTCCTAGCCTTGCCCAACACCTTATGACTTGGCCCCATGTTCCTAGCCTTGCCTGCCTGTCCTGCTCCCAAACACTGCTCCCTGCCCACCCACAGCCCCAGAGAGAGTTTTGGCAAGTTGTTGTGCAGGTGGGGTGAGAATTGGGGGGTGCTGACCTGGCCCATAACAGCTCCTCAAAACTCTGTATGTGGCCCTCAGGCACAAATACTAGCCCACCCCTCACATACTTGGTCCAATAAAAAAATATCACCTTAAAAATCCTTGACTCTTTTTACGTCTTCAGATCCAAGCATGTAAAAGAATGGGGTTAGGGCATGCAGTGGGGTAGAAACCATCTGAGACTGAATACTTGAGACACATGTCCCCTAGTGAGGATGCTCATATGGACAAGCAGTCCAAGGAGAATTTTCTATCTGTCAAAAATGTTTTATTTACCAGTTATGAGGCTATCACATTACTTGCAACTGACTATTAAATAATAAAAAGTGTGAAAAAATGACATAAGCTCTTCTTTAAAGCACTGAAATAGCTCCCCTTATTAATTAAATGGATGAACTAAGGAAGAATCAGAGTGGCGTTTTCAGTACTATTTTCCATTCTTTCAAATCTGCCGTACACCACGTGTCCTCTTGGAACAGAACAACAAACAGGATGCACACTCAACTGGGAGACAGGACTGACATCTGCATCTTGCCAACTTCCTGCTCTCCCTGGTTGGGCAGTTCATACTCAAGGAGTCTCTAGGGTCATAGAGAGTAGACAGTGGGAACATCTGCAGGAAGGCACAAGTCTTGCAGAGCAGGGGGGTCAACCTCTGAGTAGCGGGCCACCACTTGTGACCCAGTCATTGCCATAGGTTTCTGACCCCTGCTGCAGAGCCACACAGACAAGCCTGAGGCTACAGTCCCAATTTCACTTGGATATTTCATTCCAGAGCTATGGGACATAGCTCGAGATAAGCTATTGGAACAACCCGGAACCAAGGGCGGATTCTCTCCCCCGTAAAAAACGCAGTCTGGAAAGTGAAGATCGGGACTTGATTGCCAACATCAAAAAATGCCACCTGGCCCAACTCATAGTCCAGCTCTGGGGGCTGGCTCAGGGGCAGGGGTGTGTGATTAGGGGATGTGAGAACCCAGTACTCACCCTCACATTGAAAAATAGCCCAGATCCCCTCCTCAGGTGTGGGACTGATCCATCCCTTCCTCTTCATAGAGTCTCTCGCAACCCCCATAGCCCAGACTCCTGCATCAGCTGCCTTTACCCCCCAGCAATGTCTCCCAGAAGAGAAGCCCTCACAGCCCAGCACACAGTGATAAGTGTCGTATCTCCCAGGATTGTCAGGTAAATCCTGCTGTGTATCTCCATGCCTCACATATTTGCAATCCTCAGATAGGATGAGCTGGGGATGTGC